ATGCAAGCAACCAAAAAACAGAGATAACTTGTACTTCAACAAAATGAAACTTTTCTGCATCAAGGACCCTAGCAAGAAAGTTAAAAGACAATTCACAGAATAGGAGAAAATATTTGTAAATCATACATTTGATAAGGATTTAGTATCCAGAATATATAAAGAATTTGTATAACTCAACAACAAAAAGAAAACAACCCAATTATTACATGGGCAAAAGATTTAATTGGACATTTCTCCAAAGATGATATACAAATGACCACAGAACACATAAAAAGATGCTCAACATCATTAGTCATTTGGAAAATTCAAATCAAAACCGCAATGAGATATAACCTCACATCCATTAGGATTACTATAACCAAAAAACCGGGGGAATAGCAAGTGTTGAAGAGGCTGTACAGAAATTGGAACCCTCAAACATTGCTGGTGTAAGTGAAAAATGGTACAGCTGCTGTGGAAAACACTTTGGCAGGTCCTCAAAAAGTTAAACATAGAGTTATCATATGGTCCAACAATTCCACTCTAGGTATATACCCAACAGAACTAAAAATATATGTTAACACAAAAGCTTGCATGAGATTGTTCATAGCATCATTGTTCAAAATAGCCTAAAAGTGTAAACAACACAAACATCCATCAATTTATCAATGGATAAACAAAACTGGTATATCATCAATTGAATATTATGGAAACCATAAAAAGGAATGAAGTGCCAATACACACTACAACATGGATAAACTTCGAAAACATTAAGCTTAAGTGAAAGAAGCCAGACACAAAAGGACAAATATTATATAATCTTACTTAAATGAGGTACCTAGAAGTATTCAAATTTATAGAGACAGAAAGTAGAATATTGGTTTCCAGGGCCTAGGGGGGAAGGGAGATAGAGATTTATTGTTAATTGGGTACAATTTCCATTTCGGAAGGTGAAAAAATTCTGGAGGATGTGGTGATGAGTACACAACAATGTGAATGTACTTTATGTCACTGAAGTGCATACTTAAAAACTGTTGAAATGGTAAATTTTACGTTATATATATTTCACCACAATAAAAAAAGGAATGAAGTACTAACACATCAAACAACATGGATTAATCTTGAAAACATTATGCTTAAGTAAAAGAAGCAAGACACAAATGATTCCATTGAAATAAAATGCCCAGAATAAGCAAACCTAGAGACAGACAAAGTAAATTAGCTGTTGCATGGGGCGATGTTGCTTGTTGGATAGGAGGAAGGGGGAATTGAGAGTCATTAACAGGTATGAGGCCTCTTTTTGGGGTGTATAAATGTGTTCTGGAATCAAATAGTGGTGAGCACAAACCACAGCATTGTGACTATACTAGCAACCACTTTATATTTTTTTAATCCTTTTTTTTTTTTTTTTTTTTGAGATGAAGTTTCACTCTGTTGCCCAGGCTGGAGTGTACTGGCTCAATCTCAGCTCACTGCAACCTCCGCCTCCCAGATTCAAGCAATTCCCCTGCCTCAGCCTCCCTAGTATTTGGGATTACAGGAGTGTACCACCACGCTCAGCTAATTTTTGTATTTTTAGTAGAGACAGGGTTTCACCACTTTGGCCAGGCTGGTCTTGAACTCCTGACCTCAGATGATCTGCTTGTCTCGGCCTCCCAAAGTGTTAGGATTACAGGCACAAGCCACTGTGCCCAGCCAAAATGTTTTCAAGCTCCCCAAGTGTTTCTGAGGTACATCCTTTGTTTGGAACCTGCCCCCTGTCTCTGATGGTTTTGTATTATTAATATGGGCTACTGACTCAAGCTGGATGGTGAATATCTTGAGGGCATGGTCCCCACCTCAAACTTCCTTGTTGATGTCACTGTGACATCATAATGTCTGCACAAATATCATTGGATGAAAGAAGTCAGAGCAACTGCCACCTAGAATGTCAGCTGCCAGGGGGCTCCAACAGAACTGAGGGACAACCAGAAGGTGCCTGAGAACTGGCCTATCTGGTCACTCTCTCCAGTGGGCCACTGGGCCCCACTTGGTGGGCAGTCCCTGCTGCCAGCTAGGGCATCTCAGTTCAGCCCAGAGCAAAGAGGTGTAGGGACATAACACTCTCCTCAAGCTTCCTTTCTCAGGTCCAAATTTAGAGGCCCTGTTTTGGGTCTAGAATTCACTGAGGCTTGTGGCTGTTTGTCCAACAGTCACCATGGATCACCGAAGCCGACTCCGGGGCACAGGTGTGAACCGAATCCCTGGGACTCAGTCCAGAGCCTCCCGGGCCCCACTCCCCTTCCACGTGGAACAGGAGGCCAGGGAAGGAGAAGACTGGGAGCGAGAGCCACCTCGTCAGAGACCTCCTGTCTATGAGCCACCAGAAAGTGAAGAGCTAACAGATAACGTTATGGGTAAGGACACAACCTCCCTCAGCAGAAGGAGGCTGGCTTGACCTTTTTTATCCTTTGCCTCCAGGAAGCAGGGGCCAGGAAGCAGAAAGCAGAGCATACAATGGGCAGAACAAGGGTGAGGGATGAGTTTGGAAAGGAGAGATTTTCTATCTGCCACAAAGGGTTGTTGTCACAAGGAGCAACTTGAAACTGAGGGTGCTTGGAATACTGTTATTAACAAAATCGAATGTTTGCAATGTCAAATGCTCACTGTGGGCCAGGTTCTTTGGGAAACAAAGATCAATTAGACATTGATTTCAGCTACAGAGTCCACAGTCTAGTAGAGGAAAGACAAACTTAGGATAGTTTCTGCAGGATTCAAAAAAGTAACAACAGGTGCTTACAGAAAAACAAACTTCACATGTTTTTACTTAATTGTGGTAGCGAAAAATTAAAACGATTGAACTCATGGAGATAGAGAGTAGAAGAATGGTTACTAAAGGCTGGGAAGGGTAGTGGAGGGCTGGGGAGGAAAGTGGGAATAGTTAGTGGGTACAAAAATATAGTTTGAATAAAAAAAGACCTAGTATTTGATAGCACAACAGCATGACTATAGTCAATAATCATTTAATTGTATATCTTAAAATAACTAAAAGAGTGTAATTGGATTGTTTCTAACACAAAGGATACATGCTTGAGGTGATGGATACCCCATTTACCCTTATGTGATTATTACATATTATATGCCTGAATCAAAATATCCCACATACCCCATAAATATATATATATATATATATGTACTATGTAACCACAAAAAAATTTTTTTAATTTAAAAAGAAAGATAACAAGCACTCACAGGAAGACAGAGCTCACCCTGGGAGCATACAGGCTCATGCCTGTAATCCCAGCACTTTGAGAGGGCAAGGTGGGTGAATCACAATTAGCCTGGCATGGTGGCATGCACCTGTAGTCCCAAAGGAGGAACGAGACTCCGTCTCAAAAAAAAAAAAATACACACCTAACGCAGGGTTAAGTTGCAACATTGCCTGTTTGCCCTACAGTTCCTTCCCGGCTGGAAAGGATACAGCTTTTCAGGTTAGACTTTTCTTCTCCAAGTTTTCTGGGCACCTGAAAAGGGCTCTGACTCCAGAGACGAGTCATGGCTGTTCACACACATTACTGCAAGGAAAAGAATAAGAAATATCTGTTAGAGGGAGAAAACACAAGCTATTCAGAGGCAGAAAGGTTAGTTTCCCTTTTGAGGGGCAGGGAGTGGCGTGGATGAGGCGGCTTTGTGGGAGAGATGGGCTTGGAAGGATGTCTAACAAGTGCTGGGGACGAGGGGCGTTGGCAGGAGGCCAGTCACTTCAATGGTGGGAAGCCAGCCATGGACGAAGCTGTGTGGAAGAAATAGGTGTCAAGGATGAGATGCCCTAAAACAGTGCTGAGGGAGTGAGGCCAGTCACCTGTGAAGTTTTGTGAACAAGACGGGCCCGGAAGGATGAACAGGGTCTAAAACAGTGCTGACGGTGGGAGGGCAGGAGGTCAGTCATAGTTGACGACACAAGGTGGTCTTCATCCAGTTGGTGGACGCTCGGTGGCCTGGGCCTGTTCCCAGTGCGCAGGCGCACACGGCAGGTTGCAGCGGGAAGGAGGGCAGGTGCCCACGGCCGGCAGGGGGCATGGCAGATGGGTGAGGAGAGCAGGGAAAAGCCCAGGGGTTGAGCGATCGGGTAATTATCAGAAGAAGGAACAACATTGTGCTAGGAGAGTTTTCTAGTAACTTTTCAAGTTTTCATTTAAAATTTTTTTAAAAAGCTGTATTTGAAACAATAGATTGGGTCACCAAAAACTGCCTGTTCGCCCCTGCCTACTGTAATGAGAGTAAATGGTTAGACCTATCCTAAGTTTTTCCAAGACTTAAAAGAGCTGCAAGTAGTAGGGAGAGTCAGGGCACTGTTCACACAAATCACTTCAAGAAAAAAAAATCAGTCTATTAGATCTCGAAACTTATATTCCTGTCTGTCTGGAACTTGGTAACCTTTAACCAACAACTAACTCCCCATTCCTTCCCTCTCTCCCCACCTCCCCTACTTTCCAGCCTCTGGTAAGCAGCAGGGTAAATACAGTCAGTAATACTGTATTGTATATTTCAAAATGAATAAGAGAGTACATTTGAAATGTCTCACCATAAAAGTCATAGGTAAACAAGGCAATGGATAAGTTAATTAATGTGATGTAATCATCCCACATTTGATACATATTTCAAAATACCACACTGCATCCCACGAAATGTATACAATTATGATTTGTCAATTAAACATAATTTTTAAAAATGTTGTGACTTTTAAAAAGCTTATTAGAAGTATAAAATGCAAGCCATTCACAAGGATATAGGTCAGATTCTGCTTGTGAGGGCCTTCTGTGCAGTGGTAAGGCTTTGTGGAAGTATGTCTAAAACAGCACTGAAGTCAGAAGACTTTGTCACAGCCTTCACAAAGTTAGGCGATGCGCCAGGTCCTGGCCCGCCGCGGGCGCAGGCGCAAATATAGGCTTGTTGGGGGAGGGGGCGGGGCCGGCGCCCACGTGGCGGGGAGGGAGGGGAGCGGAGGGGAGGGCGGAGGGGGGAGAAGGGGGCGGAGCAGGTCTCGCGAGGCCGCGCCCCGGCTCGGCTCGCGCGGGCGTAGTGCACGCGGTTGTGGCCGCCTGGCGGCGGGAGAAGCCGCACTCGCGCCAACGGACGTGTTTCTGCGCTCGCGTGGTCATGGAGGCGCTGCCGCTGCTAGCCGCGACGACTCAGGCCCATGGCCGGCAATTAAGGCTGCTTCTGCTGCCGCTACTGCTGTTCCTGCTGCCTCCTGGAGCTGTGCAAGGCTTGGAGACAGAGGAGAGGCCCCGGAACCGCGAAGAGGAGTGCCACTTCTACGCGGGTGGACAAGTGTACCCGGGGGAGGCATCCCGGGTGTCAGTCGCAGACCACTCCCTGCACCTAAGCAAAGCCAAGAGTAGGTGGTGTCCCGTCAAAGGCGGGGGGGTTGGGAGGTGGGGTGACTCCCGAGACACGTGTATTCTGGTTACACCTCGGGAGCCTGGGCTTGGGCGGCACCCCCTGAGCTGCCTCCGGGCCCTGGGCTGGCCTGGTACTCTCTTAGGAGGGCGGGGAGGGGATTAAAGAGTAATTCTAGCTGTGAAGAAAGGGATGGTTTCCACTGATCAGATTTTAGAAGAGGTAGTGGTTACCCCAAAAGCCGCAGCTGAGGGAAAGTGGGTGGCCCTAGTCCCGGGTTTGCATCGAGGATGTTGTGCAAACTAAAACAGTTCCTGAAACATCTCAAAGTGCCTGCAGCACATCCCGTCTCTTTCAGGTACTATTTCAGTGAATGAAGGAAGACACTGATGGGTTGAATAATGATTCACAGAAAGTTTGATTAAACAAAAGTTGCTAAACACAGTGCTCGGGAGGTCAAATGTTTCGGTTTTTTGTTTGTTTGCATCTTACAAAGATTATTAGTAAAAGCGACCTTCCCCAAAGCCTGTGTAGTTAATGGATATTCTTTACGTTTCTCAGATAGGAAGAACCAATTACAGAGTTTACTTCTGAGGGAAATGGGGCAAAAGGAGGTTAGAAGTAATGCATTTGGGTTGATGGTAAACCTCGTGGGAAATTTGTGTCCTGACAATTTGGTTTTTGATTATTTGCATTTCAGTCCAATGTACAAAATGACACGTCACTTTCAGGAATGACACGTCAGACGAAGTAGTTACTGTGAAAGTTGTGGCCTACTACATCTGGATGTTAAAATTAACCAAAAACAAGTGATCAGTGGCAATAGATAGAGGCTGTTTCTTGCTTGCTTTTCAGTAACCTGCTTTTTCTACAGACCATTTGACATTCTGTAGGTGTGTAGTTGGCTTTTGTCGTTCAGTTACAGCATGTTCCATGCCAGTATTCAGTGAAAAAAGTAATGCTTCACAATTCCGAATCCCTAGAGTTAAATGGAATGTTGTTTTGACTTTGGATGGGGTGAGAGTGATAAATGAGAAAAACTGTTTTGTCGTCTTAAACATTTATAGTTCTTACTTACTGAAAGTTAACTACTTTGAGATTTTTTTTTTTTTTTAGAAGGAGTCTTGCTCTATCACCCAGGCTGGAGTGCAGTGGTGCGATCTCAGCTCACTCCCAGATTCAAGCAATAATTCTGCCTCAGCCTCCCAAGTAGCTGGGACTACAGGCGCAAGCTACCACACCCAGCTAATTTTTGTATTTTTAGTAGAGACGGGGTTTCACCATATTGGCCAGGCTGGTCTCGAACTCCTGACCTCGTGATATGCCCACCTCTGCCTCCCAAAGCGCTAGGATTACAGGTGTGAGCCACCACACCCGGCCTACTTTGGGATTTTTAAGAAAACTGGTCTTAAAATACTAAAATCGTAGTATTTCCAAGTCCCACTGGTTTTACTTGCCTGGGAAGGTATTTTAAACATATCAGCCAGTTAAGTGTTTACTTACATTACATGTATTTCCCATAAGAAACAAATCCATTTCAAAACTTTTCCTTTACCAGTAAAACTTAAAATTGTAGTTATTTACTACATTTCTCTGTCACATGTAGTCTTATCTAGAATTAAAAATACAAAGACTTTTATTAGTAAAGACTATGGCGCCATTAAGTCCATATTTTCAAATAATTTTTAGTAATGTCAAAAACTCTTCATAATTAATTTACTATTTAAGGAGAAAAAAAGAAAAGGGGAGGATGCAACATAACAAGCTTGTGTTTAAAAAAGAATGGAAAGGCACAGTGGCTCACTCATAGAATCTCGGCACTTTAGGAGGCCAAGGCAGGCAGATGACCTGAGGTCAGGAGTTCAAGACCAGCCTGGCCAACATGGTGAAACCCCATCTCAACTAAAAATACAAAATTAGCCAGGTGTGATGGTGCATGCCTGTAATCCCATCTGTGGGGGTTTGAGTCATAAGAATCCCTTGAACCCGGGAGACAGAAGTTTCAGTGAGCCCAGATCACACCACTGCACTCCAGCCTGGGCGACAGAATAAGACTCTGTCTCAAAAAAAATAAATAAATAATTAAAATTTTAAAAAATAAAAAAGACTGGAAGGACAGACATCAGAACCTTAACAGTAGTTAAGTTGATGGGAGTTATGGAGAGAGGGGGTTTAAGTATTCTTTGTACTTCTCTGCATTTACCAGAATCTTCATGTTAATTACATAATTTATATTCAAGACAATTTTTGTTTTTTTAATAAATGCAAGGGGTTGCTTTGGGAATTCCACTTATAGATCTTAGCAAAGTAACTACCATTCTTCACCAAATATTTCCAAAATCTATTTTCAGAACAAAAAATTTTTTTTCAAATACAGTTTTTCCAGTATGCTAAAAGCATTAAGGCATGTCATTGTAACAGATCGTTACAATTTATTATAACCTCTCACTTGAGTAGCGTTTTAAGTAATTTATTTAAACTTTATATAATTGAAAACCCTTCTGCTGTCTATTTCTCCCTCCTGGCCTTTACCTAATCAGGTATGAGGTAGGCTGCTGGCTCAAGATAAATGATCATATGTCATACATTAATTTTTCAGAGAAATTCATGTTGTCTGTCTTTATTTTGGAGTGACCATAAATGGTGGCTCTTACAGAAAAGAATAAGCCTTACTTTCTAGGAACCTTAGCCAAACTTGGAAGCAACTATTGACATCAATTTATGTAAGGGGTCTAAAAGTGTGAGTGCTATCTGAATGTGTTAACAGAGCATGAAGGTGCATTATTATCTAAGTGTGTTGGCTAAAATTACTGTATGCGCTTACAAGAGAGCAGCATGAACTGTTCAGTTTCCATTGGGTCACTTGAAACCTGTTCAAGGGAGTCTTCTTTCAGAGCCCTCTTGGAAAATGATCCCATGGTCTGGGATTTTATACTTCTAGCCTAACACATTTGTACATTCCCTCCTCGTTTTGTGTAGCAGCAGGTGCTCCATGTGTACGTCAGAAGCTGGCCAAACTAAATTAGTACGTCTGGAAAACTGCCATTAGAAAAAGGAAAATCTAATTATTTGAAATACAGGAAGTTGACAACTTGAAGTGGAGCTATAGTGAAGTATCCAGGAGGGTTTAGTGCAGTGTGGAATTTAAGAGGTCTGTGAGCATGAATAGGGGGAAAAGATATTTATTTTCACTAACCCCCAATTTTTTTTTTCTTTTTGAGACAAGAGTCTTGCTCTTGTTGGCCAGGCTGGAGTGCAATAATGCTATCTCGGCTCACCACAACTTCCACTTCCCGGGTTCAAGTGATTCTCCTGCCTCAGCCTCCTAAGTAGCTAGGATTACAGGTGCCCGACACCACGCCTGGCTAATTTTTTGTATTTTTAGTAGAGACGGGGGTTTCGCTATGTCAGTCAGGCTAGTCTTGAACTCCTGGCTTCAGGCAATCCACGTGCCTCAGCCTCCCAAAGTGTTGGGATTACAGGAGTGAGCCACCATGCCTGGCTGAATCAGTTATCTTCTTGCTATATTGTGGTTATTGCAGGTATCCTGAAACACGATTTTTGCTTGTTATCTTAGGTAGTTGCCAGATCATGACTAGATCTTGCAGTTTTGAAGTGTTATAGAACACATGTATTATGATAGCACCAAGTTTTTAATATTTTGATAATTGCATTTAAATACAGTTGGTTTCTTTTGTAATTATATGTATTTTCCTTTTTGATTCAATAACACTCTTTTAAGAAGTCTAGCCAGGCGCGGTGGCTCACGCCTGTAATCCTAGCACTTTGGGAGGCTGAGGCAGGCGGATCACCTGAGGTTAGGAGTTTGAGACCAGCCTGACCAATATGGTGAAACCCTGTCTTGGGGAAAGAAAAAAAAAAAAAAAGTCTGTAAGCTTCACCAGACTGCCAAAGAGATCTAAAGGTAGCCCTGATTTTTAGTAATTTTCTAAAGATGTCCTTCTGCCATTCCACCAACTTTCTCAGTGTTACAGAACATCATGTATTTTTCCTTCTTAGTTTCCAAGCCAGCACCCTACTGGGAAGGAACAGCTGTGATCGATGGAGAATTTAAGGAGCTGAAGTTAACTGATTATCGTGGGAAATATTTGGTTTTTTTCTTCTACCCACTTGATTTGTAAGTAATACATGTAAACTGCAGCTAGTAAAATCTGTCTTTATCAATTATTTTTCTGGAATATCAAACAAATTATTTTGTTCAGCTCTTGGTTTTTAAAAAGGCAAGCTGAAGTAAAGAAATGTATTTTAAAAGGTAACATCTACCATATATTTCAGAGTCATAACACACTGACCTCAATACTTATATCTACATGATTAGGTTTTGGTAATAGAATAAGTAGAGGAAAGCTACAAGATATTTATTAAGCTATAACTAATAAGCAAGAAAATGGACCGATATTTTAGAAAGCATTTAATAGCAAGACTTATGCCATAATTCTTTTTAATGTATCTTTGTTAATTAGAGATACATTAAAAAGAAATACATTAAGCCATTTTCTCTAGTGAGACCATGTAACGCTGGTTTTTCCATTTTTATTCTTTGCTGCTTCTATTGCTTTTCTGGGATTTGAATATTTTGTTGAAAATGTTCTATACTGCTTAAGGAATAAGGAATAACCTGTTAATATGTTATGGTTATTATGGGATTTCTTGTCTTTCTTTAACTCTGTAACAGAGAGCATTTTTGTATATGGTCAGAAAGTTGACTCAAAGTAAATGCTCTTACAGCTTTATTCACATTGAGGATTTAATTTTATTTTACAAAACATTATTTTGAGTGTTTTTCAAAACTCATGAAAGTGAAAAGAGACTAAAAAGAGTTATGTCCATTTTTATCTTTTTATTCTCTTGGAACTTACTTTTTGGTTACAAAAAGTAACTAAAAGGTTCCTTCTCTTATCTTTGCCACTGTGCCTTTTTCCATTAGGACTAATCTAGAACTGCATAGATCAAATTTAAACTTGCAGGGAGGGTATACTTAAGCTCATTTCTATAGGTTGTTTCGAGGCCAGGGATTAACAGACTTTTTTTGATGGATATGGCCTGTTGAACGGTTTGCCAACCCCCACTCTAAGCCAAATAGGAAGAATTCTCATGAAAATTATTACATTGAGACTAAAATTATGAGTCTGCATAATATATAATCTTTTAGTAAGAACTTGTTTCTAATCAACTCATACTGTGACTGGATTTTTTTTAAGTATAGCTTAATTTCTAATAGAAAGCAGAAGTCAAAATTTCAATAGATATAAAAAATTTTCTGCTACCTTAGACTAATGTAGCAGAAAAATATGTTAATGTAATAGACTAATGTAATAGTCTAATGTAGCAGAAAATTATGTTCTGTTTCTCCATTGTTATTCAAAACTCCATATTGGGCAAGAGATAGTTAATTGGAGTATGGTGTTAGCAATGGTCTTCTGGGATAAGGAGCTAAGATAGCTTCTTCCTGTTTTCATGTAATGCTGGACTGGGCCTGCTTACAGAAGGAAAAATCCTGGGGCATTTGCCACAGTCTACAAGGAGGAAAGTTACAAACATAACCCTTCAGTTTCCTGCCAAAACTTTTTCACTAAGAAGTTGGTCAAATGTGTCTCTAGGTAGCATTCCTTGAAATAAGAAGAAGGAAGTCAGAGGCTGGGTGCAGTGGCTCACTCCTATAATCCCAGCACTTTGGGAGACCAAGATGGGCAGATCACCTGAGGTCAGGAGTTCCAGACCAGCCTGGCCAATATGGTGAAACCCCATCTCCACTGAAAATACAAAAAAATTTAGCCAGGTGTGGTGGTGGGTACCTGTAATCTCAGCTACTCGGAAGGCTGAGGCAGGAGAATTGCTTGAACCCAGGAGGCGGAGGTTGCATTAAGCCAAGATCACACACCACTGCACTCCAGCCTGGATGACAGAGTGAGACCCTGCCACTGGAAAAAAAAAAAAAAAAAAGGAAGGCTGAGGCTCACTGTTCCTACCCTTTAGAAACTATTTAAAATACATAGTATAACCCAGGTCTCCAGGGACATCATCCTAGATTAGAACTGTCTACTAGCACATGACTAAAATAAAACATGTTAAAATCCTGTATTGGGCTCTGGTAGGAATCTGCCCCCTAACTAAGTCTATGCTTTTCAAACTTTCTTGACCATGTCTCACAGTAGGAAATACATTTTTTATTACTAGCCAGTACACAGGCGCATATATATATATATATATATATATACACACACACACACACACACACACACACACACACAGTAACATTCAGTCTTTATGCACCAACGCAGCCATGCCCCTTGAAATACTGAAATACCCTCATATCATGTGGTAAATAGCCACTTCCCTTCCCTCCCCAACAAGTTAGTCCTCCTGCCTGGTGCCTTTCAGAAACCTCCAGAACTAAAGCCAGCTTTGGGTGAAAATTGTTAAATATTTTGAATATCACTGTTGAATACAAATACATATATGTATTTGTATATACAAACATGTTTCATAATTTACCCTTACTATGTATGATATAGTCTCGTATTTTCTATTAGATTTCACTTTTTAAAAATGTTTAGAACTCAGTTGATTTAAGGAGTCCCTACCATGGTTTGAAAAATACCACTCTAGTATTCTCTAAACATGGCCTTCTGACAACATGAGGGTATTAAGGCATAAAATCCCTGGCTGCACAGGACTGCTAGACAAGGTAGAAGAGAATCTTATCAAGAAAGGAGGGGGAGTACTAGAAAACATTGCCTTCTCTCCAGAATATGGATAGATGCATCCAGCTCATAGGGTTGGTGTAGGAATATCAAAAACAACAGTAAAATGATGTAAAATTTGTACAGATCCTTTGAAAGCTGTAAAGTACTATGTACACAAAAGCCATTATTAAATAACAGCTAATAAAATGGGGGTTGGCTACTGCTATAAGGGAGGAGGGAACATTGGTTGACTACTGATCTATTGAGTTGTAATAAGAAAGTTTATTGAGATGTAGTTGGGAACTCTGTAATATGTTTTGTTATTGAATATTTGATCAAATGACAGTCTTTTAGACTACATTTTGAAAAGGTTCATATATAAAATTGTTCTTAATGTGCATTTTTATTACTGAAGGTATTAGTAAAAATTGTTGTTTGAAAGTTTAGGTATATGCTTATTTGGAGAATACTGATTTTTTTTTTCTTTTTACCTTTCAGCACGTTTGTGTGTCCAACTGAAATTATCGCTTTTGGCGATAGACTTGAAGAATTCAGAGCTATAAATACTGAAGTGGTAGCGTGCTCTGTTGATTCACAGTTTACCCATTTGGCCTGGTCAGTATCTTACAATTGTAGAAAAAAAGAATGGATTTACTCTTAAAGTATGGGCAGATAACTCTTGACATGATATAATAAGAATATAGTCATTTATCATACAATTCAGGAATAGATTTATCTAAGAGTAATACATGCATCTACATGTTTTCCAGGTTTAAAAAAAAAAGAAGAGTAATATAATCAGCTGCTGTAGTAAAAATGCTTAAGGATTTTATTCTAAAATTAGGGGAAAAGTTTATGATTACTTTATTATGATAAATTGGGCTACCATAATCTGGAGAAAAAAAAAATCTTTAAAATATGCCATTTCTTGACAGATACAGGTGAGGGGACGGAAGGCGGCAAACCACACTGCCATGTGTGTACCTATGCAACAATCTTGCATGTTCTTCACATGTACCCCAAAACCTAAAATGCTATTTTAAAAAAAATGCCATTTCTCTGTTACATAGTTATATAGTCAAACTCAGCTTTTATGATTTTCAAGAAACAATTTAACTTAAATTTTTAAGAATTTATTAATCATTAAAAGAGGGTCTACCTAAATTCGTTGTAAAGAATTGCAAATTAAAATGACAGGAGATGCCAATTTTCCCTGTCTCATTGGCCAAGATTTAAAAGATTGAAAAAATTTATCTACTGTGGACAAAAATTAAAGAAATGGTACTCACACACAGCTGTTCAGCATTTCTGGAGAGCAGTTGGGCAACATGTCTCAAAATTGGAAATTTACATGTTAATGTGAGTTTTTAATAGCGTCCACAGTCTTGTGCAGAAAACTTTGTACACAATAAAAACTATTCGGAATTATTTTGGTTTTAAAACATAATGTTCAATTTATGAAAGTTACAAATTTAAGACACAAGTTTTTTATATTTCTAATCGTGTATATGTGTATATAACAAATTTTCATTGGTTGGGGAGCTACAATTTAATTAATTACATTTCCCTAAGAAATTAATTCCCCTAAGTATTTTTAAATGCAGTTATATATTTAATATATTTGAATTCCTTAAGTATCTCAATTTTCAGACAAAACTTCCCAAATACTTCAGTAGTTCTAATGTGCCAAATTCTCTTAAACATTATAAATAACTTATGCAAACAATATGTATGGCATATTTGGGGACAAAAAAAAGAATAAATAACTTAGTATATAAATGTGTACTGATTATTTGTTAATATAAAAATATTGGCCGGGCGCAGTAGCTCAAGCCTGTAATCCCAGCACTCTGGGAGGCTGAGGCAGGCGGATCACGAGGTCAAGAGATCGAGACCATCCTGGCCAACATGGTGAAACCCCATCTCTACTAAAAATACAAAAATTAGCTAGGCATGGTGGCATGCGCCTATAGTCCCAGCTACTCAGGAGGCTGAGGCAGGAGAATTGCTTGAACCCAGGAGGCAGAGGCTGCGGTGAGCCAAAATTGTGCCACTGCACTCCAATCTGGTGCCTGGCGACAGAGTGAGACTCTGTCTCCAAAAAAAAAAAAAAAAAAAAAAAAATAGCCTGGCATAGTGGTTCACACCTATAATCCCAGCACTTTGGTAGGTCAAAGCAGGAGAATCACTTCAACCCAGGAGTTGAAGACCAGCCTGGGCAAAATAGTGAGAACCCCATCTATACAAAAAATTTAAAAAATTAACCAGATGTGGTAGTGCATGCCTATGGTCCCAGCTACTCAGGAGCCTGAGATGGGAGGATCACTTGAGCCTAGATGGTGAGGCTGCAGTAAGCCAAGAGCATACCACTGCAACCAGCCTGGACAACAGAGTGAGATCCTGTCTCAAAAAAAATATAATAAGATATGGCTTAATTTGCTTTATTACTTCCTTAAAAAAAAAAAAAAAAAGACGGGGGTCTTAACTATGTTGCCCAGGCTGGAGTGCAGTAGCACAATCAATCCTAGCTCCCTGCAGCCTTGAACTCCTGGGCTCCAACAATCCTTCTACCTCCCCAAATAGCTGGGTGCAAGCTTGCACCACCATGCCTGACTATTTTATTTTTATTTTTGTAGAGATGGAGTCTTGCCATGTTGCCAGGCTGTGCTTCATCACTTCTATGTAGTAATTCTAAATCTTCCAAGGATCAAAATGCATAATCACTAAGGAAAAAGTTATGTCATCCCAAATAATTTGGGATTTCTTTCCCAAGGAAATTTGGGGATATATTTTCATCTGGATAGGTTTCACATCAACCAGAGATTTTTACTTGGGTGTCAGAACCGGGGCTATAGATACCTGGAGCAATGTTGGTTTGTTTCCTAGCTGCTGTATCAGTAGCCTGCTGTTAGGGCATCAGCCCATGTCTCCTGGTTTCAAGTTACAGAATACAGATCAAGCATCCCTAATCTGAAATCTGCAGTGTTCCAAAAGTCGGAATTTTTTGAATGCTGACATGAAGCTCAAAGGAAATGCTTAGTGAAGCATTTCAGAGTTCAGATTAGGGATGTTCAAACTAGTAAGTATGCAGATATACCACAATCAGAAAAAAATCTTAAATCCAAAACACTTCTGGTCCCAAGCACTTCCGATAAGGGATACTTAGCCTGTACTGAAATCTGAAGACTGATGCATCTGATATTATAACTAGCTTCCTTCACTGCTTCAGGTGGACTTTGCATTTCTTTGTCTCTCAGAATATTAAAATGTCATCCATTTGTATCCTGCCTATCTCTTCAGGGCTTTGTCTTATGATCACACTAAGTTTATGCTTATGGTACTATGTATCTTTTGATCTCTCAGTTTTACTTTCAGAAATTAATTAGACAAGTATACAAAAGTAAGAATACAAGATTGTTTCAGCAGTGTTTATAAAGCAAAAAAAAAAAAAAGGTAAATGGTTTAAATCTCCATCATGGCGATTAGTAAGATATAGTACAGATGGTCCCCACTTATGATAGTTCAACTTACAATTTTTCAACTTTACAGTGGGTTTCTGAGATAGTAAATGCATTTTTAGCTAACGATACTTTCAACTTATGTGTTTATCAAGACATACCCCATCATAAATCGAGGAGTATCTGTGTATCCATACATTAAAAATGTGTTGTAGACCGGGCATGGTGGCTCACGCCTGTAATCCCAGCACTTTGGGAGGCCGAGGAGGGTGGATCACCTGAGGTCAGGAGTTTGAGACAGCCTGCCCAACATGGTGAAACCCTGTCTCAACTAAAAACACAAAAGTCAGCCAGGTTTGGTGGCACATGCCTGTAATCCCAGCTACTTTCAAGGCTGAGGCAGAAGAATCACTTGAACCCAGGAGGCAGAGGTTGTATGCAGTGAGCTGAGATCATTCCACTGCACTCCAGCCTGGGCAACAGACCAAGACTCCATCTCAAAAAAAAAAAAAAAAAAATGTGTTTTAGGCTGAGCACAGTGGCTCACGCTTATGATCCCAGCACTTTAGGAGGCTGAAGCAGGAGGATTGCTTGAAGCCAAGAGTTCAAGACCAGCTTGGGTAACAAAGCTACACCTTATCTCTATTAAAAAAAAAAAAAAGTTTAAAATGTTAGCCAGGTGTGATGGTGTGTACCTGTAGTTCCAGCTTCCCAGGAGGCTGAAGCAGGAGGATCACTTCAGCCTAGAAGTTCTAGGCTACAGTGAGCTACAGTCATGCCACTGCCGTCCAGCCTGAGAGATAGAGCAAGACCCTGTCCCAAAAAAAAAAAAAAATGTGTTATGTATATATATAAAGGATATGAATATGTTAAATGGGAAAAGCAAGAAAACAGAAAGTATATTAGCCCGTTTTTGTTAGAGAAAGAGTATCTTTTGTTCAAGTGTGTGCATGTGCATGTACAGAGAAAGAGTGCTGTTTTAATACATGCTGTTTACTTAGCTCTGAGAGGTAAGTGTTCTGTTTGTTACAGGATTAATACCCCTCGAAAACAAGGAGGACTTGGGCCAATAAGGATTCCACTTCTTTCAGATTTGACCCATCAGATCTCAAAGGACTATGGTGTATACCTAGAGGACTCAGGCCACACTCTTAGGTACCTTTCGGTGTTTTTACATTATGACAAATCCAAGTGTGTTTATAATCCTTCTTGAAATAGATGTTACTTGTGAAATAGAAGAACCAATTTTGATCAGGAAATATTTTGAGGCCGGGCACAGTGGCTCAAACGTATCATCCTGGCACTTTGGGAGGCCAAGGTGGGTGGATTACTTAAGGTCAGGAGTTCGAGACCAGTTTTGCCAACATGGTGAAACCCTGTTTCTACCAAAAAATACAAAAATTACCCGGGCATGGTGGCGTACGCCTGTAGTCCCAGCTACTTGGGAGGCTGAGGTGGGAGAATTGCTTGAACCCAGGAGGCGGAGGTTTCAGTGAGCCCAGATCACGCCACTGCACTCCAGCCTGGGCAACAGAGTGAAAAAATATATTACTTTGCTCTATTTTTAAAATCTTGTAGACACTCTTTAAAATAAACTACTAAACTTAAACTATGTTAGTTTATATTAGCCCTACTAAAACTATGTTAGCATCATAGACTGTTAGAGCTGGAAGATTATTTAGAGGTCTTTGACCAACCCTGTCATTTTACAGATAAAAGAGCCAGATTTATAGAGTTCCATGATCTTAGCCAAAGTTATATAATTACTTAATTGCAGAGCCCAGACATAAACACAGGTCCCCCAACTCCTTGTCCATTTCTTTTTCCTTTTTTCCAAACTGACTCCAGTAATGCTTTTTTCTAAATACAAATGTCATACTACTTCGCAAACCTGTGTCTTTGGAGTAGGAAAAATTAAGGAAATATTTTACCTAGACGCTCTCACTGGGTTACTTGAGCTAACAAACATTGATAGAATTCTTTGAGGCCGGGCGCGGTGGCTCAAGCCTGTAATCCCAGCACTTTGGGAGGCCGAGGCGGGTGGATCACGAGGTCAAGAGATCGAGACCATCCTGGTCAACATGGTGAAACCCCATCTCTACTAAAAATACAAAAAATTAGCTGGGCATGGTGGCGCATGCCTGTAATCCCAGCTACTCAGGAGGCTGAGGCAGGAGAATTGCCTGAACCCGGGAGGCGGAGGTTGCAGTGAGCCGAGATCGTGCCATTGCACTCCAGCCTGGGTAACAAGAGCGAAACTCCGTCTCAAAAAAAAAAAAAAAAAAGAATTCTTTGAAAAGGGGGCATTTTTAGTGTGAAACAGTTGTAATTTGGTTGTATTACTGATTTGCTTTTTAATGCCAATAATTTTTCTTAGATGTTTTCTGTAAAAGGGTCAGTATTTTATAGTCCTGTGTTTTTTTTATAACAAGTGTACTGGAATATAATTCACTTACAATACCCACTTAAAGAATACAGTTCAGCTAGGCTCAGTGGTTCATGCCTATAATCCTAGCAGTTTGGGAGACCTAGGTGGGAGGATCTCTTGAGCCCAGGAGTTTGAGACTAGCCTGGGTAACATAACAAGACCCTTGTCTTCTACAAAAAAAAATAAATTTTGTTTGTTAAATTAGCCCATTGTGGTAGCACATTCCTGTATTCCCAGCCTACACAAGAGGCTGAGATAAGAGGATCGCTAGAGCCTGGGAGTTCAAGGTTACAGTGAGCTATGATCACACCACTGCACTCTAGTCTGGGTGACAAGAGTGGGGCCCTGTCCCTAAAAAAAAAATTAAAAATAAAGAATACATTTCAGTGGTTTTTGTGTATTCACAGAGTCGTGCAACCATCACCACAATTTTAGAATGTTACATACTCCAAAAAACCCCATGGCCATTAGCAATCACTCTGTTTCCCCTAACCCACTTCCCCCAGCTTTAGGCAACCACAGATCTACTTTATGTCTCCATGGTTGCCTATTCTGGACTTTTCATGTAAATGGAATCCTACAATATGTGCTATTATGACTAGCCTCTTTCACACAGCATAATGTTCTCAAGGTTCATTGTATTGTATCATGTATTGCTACTGGTAGTTTCCCTTCTTTTGTACTTGCTAAGTCTTTATTGTCTTCGGCTTTCATAAAGGCTGTTACTAAGTCAATTCCCAAGCGTAAATACGCCCCCTAAAAGACCAAGGCAGTTTTAAAATGTGGAATCATTTGAACATTAACCAAGCAAAATTATTTAATGTTAGCTATATTGTTTGATTTGTGCCAGTAGTTTATTTTTTAAATTATTTTTTAAGGTTGGGCACAGTGGCTCACACCTGTAATACCAGCACTTTGGGAGGCCAAAGCACGTGGATTGCTTGAGTCCAGGAGTTTGAGACTAGCCTGGGCAACATGACGAAACCCTGTTTCTACAAAAAAATACAAAAATTAGCTGGACGTGGTGGCACACACCTGTAGTCCCAGCTACTCAGGAGGCTGTGGTGGGAGGATCACTTGAGCCCAGGAGGTTGAGGCTGCAGTGAGCTGAGATCGTGCCACTGCACTTCAGCCTGGGCAACAGAGTGCGATCCCGTCTCAAATAAATTATTTTTTATTTTTCAAAATAACACATGCACATCGTTTTTAAAAGTCAGATAATCTTCAACAACTATAAATACATGATACATTTCTTAGCCAAAAATAAATTTTTAAAGCTGCAGTTTTACAGTGATAATTCCAAATTACACAGTCAATTGGGGGAGTGATGTCCGAACAGGTGCTTGCACACATGTGTGTGCGTGTGTGTGTGTAACAATAGAGTAGGTAGGTAGTGTGGTGTTTGTTCTGTATAGCATCCTTCTGTGTGGATGGTATAGGAATGAAATTTACATTAATATGTAACTGAGAAGAAATGGCCTCACCTCTACCATTCTGTTTTACAGAGGTCTCTTCATTATTGATGACAAAGGAATCCTAAGACAAATTACTCTGAATGATCTTCCTGTGGGTAGATCAGTGGATGAGACACTACGTTTGGTTCAAGCATTCCAGTACACTGACAAACATGGAGAAGGTACCCCTCCCTTCTAACCTTTCGATTTTTTACTTTGAAGAATAGCATCATTAGTTTGGTTTCTTATCATAAAAGTAATCTGGATATTTCCAAAGTTTTCTGATTATTTACAAATTATTAGCAGATCTTTTTAGCAGACCAAATTATAATTTAAAGTGCTTTAACAAAATATCAGGCCAGGCATGGTGGCTCACACCTGAAATCCCTGCATTTTAGGAGGCCAAGGCGAGAGGATCGCTTAAGCTCAGGAATTCGAGACCAGCCTGGGCAACACAGTGAAACCTCACCTCTACTAAAAATCAAATATGTATATGTAACTAATATATTCTGCTTACTAAATAAGATGCAAAAATATTCATTATTTGCATAGTCCTTTTGGAGAAACTCAAAGAGAAAAGTTTCTGCTATTGCAATTTTTAAAATTAGGTTTCTGCAAGCTTACAGTGTGTCAATCTGGCAGTATTTAGTGATGTAGGTTTTATTTGCCTGTTTGCATTATTGAATTCAACTTTTTAAATAATGTAATCCTTGATCACTTCTCTGCCTTTCAGCTCAGATGAAGTATAATAATGTAATCCCTGGGCTTATTCAGTATCACACTTGTAATCTACAACTTCATCATTTTGCCAAAATAGAACATATTATATATTTCTTTTTAAAATGCCACTGAGTCACTGAGTCAGGATGCATTTGACAAACAGTGAATCTCTTTTGACAAACAGTGAATCATGTCATCAGTACAAAATACTGCAGGATACATGGCAAACAAGCTTACTGGAAGTTTATGTAAATTTGGAGGAATTTTTGCCATGCCTAGGCCTTTCAGCTCACCAGATTCCCAAACTTTCTAACTATATTAAAACAAACTTTCCCACTAAAACAAACTGGCAATCAGTTTGTTTTCTCATAGTTTAAATGTAACTAAACATAATCAGTAAAAATGAAAATAGCTGCCTGCTGATAAGCTCCATGACTAAAATTCCTTGGTGCGAACAGGCAGGCTAAAAGAAGTCATGTGCTCAGTGTTCTGGAAGTGTTCTTATTAGTATATTCTGTTAACTTCAGTTTCATATGGAAAGAGAAAAAGTCAGGAGTTGCTAAAGGTAACTGAATTTTGTTTTTAAACTGTCTTTGCCTATTTTTGTTCCTTTTAGTCTGCCCTGCTGGCTGGAAACCTGGTAGTGAAACAGTAAGTATATATTTTTTTTCCATTGAGGTGATGGCTAGAGTCAAAAAAAAATGCTAACCTTAGAATAATCTTTCCTCATTACTAGAACTCTCTTGATAAGTAAACATTGCTAAGCAGAAATCACAGAGTACAGACATTCTTTGGCCTGTAGGAAGAGTAGCTGAAACTGGACAAAGTAGAATGTGGGGCTTGATGCTGTGAATAGTAAAGCCAAATATACTGCAAAATATACATTCAAAAAACAAAGAAGAGCAGAGTGGAGACTTGGTAGAATAATTCAGAGGTCTTATAGGTCATGTATCGAATTTCTTCCTGTTTTGTGGACAGAGAAAACAGTCACAAGCAGAACCTTTCTATGCAATAATAAAAAGCTTTTGAGAAAATCTAGGTCATTACTGATGATAATGATTCTCTCCTTGTCATGAAGAAAGAAAAGATTGAAACATTGAAACAGGTATATTCTTTCATTTAGGAAGCTTTTTTTTTTTTTTTTTTTTTTTTTTGAAACAGAGTCTTGCTTTGTCACCCAGACTGGAGTGCAGTGGCATGATCTGGGCTCACTGCAACCTCTGCCTCCAGGGTTCATGCGATTCGCAGCCCCACAAGTAACTGGGTCTACAAGCCTGCACCACCATACCCAGCTAATTTTTATATTTTTTGTTAGAGACAGGGTTTCACCATGTTGTCCAGGCTGGTCTCAAATTCCTGGGCTCAAGTGATCCACCCTCCTCAGCCCCCCAGACTGCTGGTATTACAGGCGTGAGCCACTGTGCCTGGCCAGGAGGCTGTGTAATTTATAGATAATCCCTAAAGTAGTCTCCTCCCAAAATACAATTTAGAAACTTGCTTGAACCTTTTTAGGAAGAACATGTTTATCTTCTAAAAATCAGGAGTTTTACACAAACTGCAGTTGGGAAATTGGAAGATACTAGAGCATTAGAGGAAAAAATCATTACCTTTGGGTAAAAGAAAAATACAGACTCCTAAGACTTTTTTCCTTAGTAAACCAAAGAAAAGTCCCATTAGCCATAGAGAACCACTGGTAGAAACCTGCAGTGTAACCTCAGGTGTGCCCCTTTCTGGTCCTTGAACATGCTAAGCTGACTCCTGCCTCAGGGCCTTTGCCCCTGCTGTTCTTTCTCTACTATATCTGCATAACTGGTTCCCTCTCTTTGCTCACCTTTCAACTCAAATGGCATCTTAGAAGTCTTTACTTACCACTTTATCCCCACCCTAGACATCCTCCAACCAACTTTTTTATTTTTTTGAGATGGAGTCTCACTCTGTCGCGTAGGCTGGAGTGCTGTGGCCCAATCTTGGCTCACTACAACCTGCACCTCCCAGGTTCAAGGATTCTCCAGCATCAGCCACCCAAGTAGCTAGGATTACAGGTGTGCCCAACCACAGCTAGCTAATTTTTGTATTTTTAGTAGAGACGGGTTTTCACCGTGTTGGCCAGGCTGGTCTCTCTGCTGTGTGCTGCGTTGTGCACTGCACAAGGTTTCAAAGACCTAAGAGGGAACGGTGGGGGATAAAGAAAGACACAAAGACAGACATAGAGAAAGCTGGACCAGGCGGTCTGGGAAAGTGAGGATGTCAGTTTATCCGGCCCCAACCTGTCTCAAAGTACTTTATTTTATATGTTGACAAAGCACATAGCAGAGGGAGGGTACAGTTACTTAGAACAGCCGGTGGTTATAATTCTCATACTTCAGTTAACATACTTCAGCTAACAACTACCTTGCAGCAAGGTCAGCGAAAGCTGGTTGTCTCTCTAGGTCCTTCTGCTCTTCAAGACATACACATTCTCCTATTATGGTTTCACTTCTCTGGAGTTCACCAGCGTTCACAGCAGCCTTGCTGCTGATCTCCGCAGAGTGGTTGGGCTACTCTGGCTCTCTACAGATCTGGATCTCCTGACCTCAAGTGATCCACCTGCCTCAGTTTTCCAAAGTGCTGGGATTACAGGCGTGAGCCAGTGCACCTGGCCCAACCAACCTATTTTTAAAAGCTTTATTACCACAATCTAAAATTCAAATTAGGATATAACTCCCAAGGGCAGGGACTTTTCGCTGTGTTGTTCACTAATAAATATTGCCTATCATAATACTCAGAATAGTTTCCATATAGCGAGTCTGTTGAAAGAATGTCCAAACACATAAATATATACAACTATTATTTGTCAATCAAAAATAAAATTAAAAAGAATGACCACATACAGTATGTGATAATACGTATGCATTTTTCCAGAGGGACAATCCATAGTTTTCATCAGATTCTCAAAGAGATTTGTGGCCTCCAAAAGTTAATCATGTAAATAGTCAACATGTTTTCTGAAATGTCCAGTACTCATCCTACAATCCCTTTCAGAGTTAATTTGTACTTCTTGGGAGCTCTCACTGATCTCTGGGAACTCGGACACCTAGCACATGCCTGTGATTGGTGGTGATGTTATTCATCAGTCACAGTTGGTTTTGCTGCATCTCCGGGGGAAGTGCCCCCTACCTTGAAGATGTGTCTTAAATGCTTTTTAAGGCTTCTTAAGCTGCTACCTAAGCCAGCAGCTTCTGATTCATATTTCTTTCTGTAAGCCTCATAATCAGTAAATGGAAAGTAACCTAATGACTGATTTATACTTTAAGGTACCTAGTGCTCAAGGTACTTTTTTTTTTTTTTTTTTCCTGAGACGGAGTTTCACTCTTGTTGCCCAGGCTGGAGTACAGTCACAAGATCTTGGCTCACTGCAACCTCCGCCTTCCAGGTTCAAGCAATTCTCCTGCCTCAGCTTCCTGAGTAGCTGGGATTACAGGCACAAACTACCACACCCAACTAATTTTTTTTTTTTTTTTTTTTTTTTTTTTTTTTTGAGACGGAGTTTTGCTCTTGTTACCCAGGCTGGAGTGCAATGGCGTGATCTCGGCTCACCGCAACCTCCGCCTCCTGGGTTCAGGCAATTCTCCTGCCTCAGCCTCCTGAGTAGCTGGGATTACAGGCACGCACCACCATGCCCAGCTAAGTTTTTGTATTTTTAGTAGAGGCAGGGTTTTACCATGTTGACCAGGATGGTCTCGATCTCTTGTTCTCATGATCCACCTGCCTCGGCCTCCCAAAGTGCTGGGATTACAGGCTTGAGCCACCGTGCCCGGCCAATTTTTGTCTTTTTAGTAGAGACCAGGTTTCACTGTGTTGGTCAGGCTGGTCTCAAACTCCTGACCTCGTGATCTGCCCACCTCAGCCTCCCAAAGTGCTGGGATTACAGACATGAGCCACTGTGCCTGGCCTCAAAGTACCTTTAATGTATAATTTCAAATCCCATTTGAGATCCATCAGATCAACACATGGATGAGTAATTTTGCTATTGTAACGTTAACTGTGACCTCAAAGGCAAAGCTGTTTTGCACACCCATCAGAAATTGATTCAGAATCAGTGAATTACAAACATTACAATAAGTTGGTTTTTTTATGTTATTTTAAAAGTCGTGTGTAAAATTGGTCCCAAGTTGTTTTTATATATATAAAGATAGACATACTTTACCTATAACTAGTAGGTAACATAGTTAATGTGAGGTCAAATTACATTGGAAAATTTTTTTAAGTGTGACAGGTTTCTAAGGCTGTAGTGCTCTTGGAGGGAGCACAACAGTATTTACTCATTAACTATTGACAGTAGTGCTTGATGTTTTTGAGTTTGGGGGGTTTACTTTGCAGCTTGAGATTTAAAAGTTGTATTCTAGACTTTAGTAAGCCCTTAGTGAATACTTGCCCGCTTTACAGATGATTGTGGCATACCATCATTTTATCGGCAAATGATTTTTAAAGTACATTAACATCTGTAGCCATGCTCTCTCAATGTGTTTGACTTAATTAGATCAAACCTGAAGATGCCATGAAAGCCTGGTGGCCAAGAGAAGAGCTGTAAGTAAGTTTTGGGGTGCTTGAATACAGATGTTAATTTATTCTTAAAGAAAATAAATGAAAATATTTGTCTTTTGGAATAACTGAAATTAGTAGGTAGGACAAATCCCATTTTTTTCTCTAAATATACAATCTGATATACAAAAATAATCTTCAGTCAAGGCATGGGCAACTAATGTCAGACTACTAATGAGGTACTTTGGTTTTAAAATGAATAATTGCCTTTTTTGTTTTGTTTTTTAACAGATAATCCCAGATCCAGCTGGAAAGCTGAAGTATTTCGATAAACTGAATTGAAAAATACTTCAAGTTATGATGCTTGAAAGATCTCAATAAAGTTCGCGGTTGTATTAACACATTCTGCTGCAGTAGTAATTTCTTGGAGAATGTAAAAATCCACATCAGAGTCCAAAGATATTTAGTGTTCAAGTTAGACACTGATGCCAAAAGACAAGCAGTTCTTCTCTGTCTTTCCAAAGGAAGAAATGAGATTGAATCAAACTGAGTAATAGCAATAATGACATTTATGGAGTCCATGCCGTGCGCCAGGCACTGTGCTAAGCAGGTTAGGGGCATTATTTAACACAGCAACTCATTGAGTTCTTTCTTTATAGATGAGGAAACAAGTACAGGTAAATTACTTACCCCAAGTCACATAGCTAGCTAGCAAAGGCAAAATCCGACCTTGCACCCAGGCAAGCTAATTCTTGTTTCTGAACTCTTAACACTCCACTGTGGCTCACCCTCTCCATCCCTTTAAGGGTAGTGGTAAAGAACAGGTTGTGAACACACTCACCTTCCACGGTAATAGGAACAGCTGACCTGATGGCCCACTGCTCTGTAATAACAGAAAACCTCCCCCCACCCATCTCTAAATTTACATTTTCAACTTGTACCTAATTTCTAAGTAATAAGTTACATATTTATATTTAGTTTGACAAAATTTAAATTCTTAAATACATATAACTGGGCAGACATGGTGGCTCAGGCCTGTAAATTCCAGCACTTTGGGAGGCTGAGGCAGCTGGATCACCTGAGGTCAGGTGCGATCCTCCTGCCTCAGTCTCCCAAGTCGCTGGGACTACAGGCATGCACCAGCAGCATCATCTTCTTCTTTTTTTTAAATAGACGGGGTTTCACCATATTGGTCTGGCTGGTCTTGAACTCCCGACAGGAGATCCACCTGCCTTGGCCTCCAAAGTGCTTGGATTATAGGTGTGAGCCACCACGTCCGGCCTACATCTTCTTGATTAATAGTTTGCATTCTTTGGAGCTTCTCTAGCCTCCTGTTCATTTTAGTATGGTTTACAAGGATAGCTATTTGTAGGTCCACTCAAAAAAAAAAAGTCACTAAATGTTTCATTCAACATTTAGCAACATTGACCACCTAAACACTTGGCATACATCAATGACCAAACAACAAACTTCTGCCATCAAGGAGCTCAGTATTTGATTACTAAAGCAGGTGCTCATAGAATAGTAATTTCTTGGTACCCACAAGTAAGTGAATATACACACCCTTACCACCTTTTTTTTTTTTTTTTTGAGACTGAGCCTCGCTTTGTCACCCAGGCTGGAGTGCAGTGGCACGATCTTGGCTTATTGCAACCTCCGCCTCCCAGGTTCCAGCGATTCTCCTGCCTCAGCCTCCCAAGTAGCTGGGATTACAGGCATGTGCCTCCATGCCTGGCTAATTTTTGTATTTTTAGTAGAGATGGGGTTTCACCATCTTGCTCAGCCTGGTGTTGAACTCCTGATCTCAAGTGATCCGCCCACCTCAGCCTCCCAAAGTGCTGGGATTACAGTCATGAGCCACTATGCCTGGCCTCTCACCACTTTTTATATTAGCTGACTACTCTAAATAGCTTCCGAATAAAAGCATCCCTTTTGTCCCTTTTTAATAAACTATCCCTTCAAAGAGCTGACTTCTGAAAGTCCTTAAGTCCAACTTACATCTTACAGATAGTCTCATGTGGCCACTTTCAAAGACTGGAAAAAGGATATCCCCTGCCCTACTGGAGAGGATGGACCCTGGGCCTAACCAGGAGGCAGCTACTAGAGACCTATTCCCAGAAGACGCTGACCTACCATAATCTAGAGCAGTGCTTCTCAACAGGGAGGAATGGGGATTTTGCCCGCAAAAGACATGGCAATATCTGGGATGTTTTTATTGTCAAAACAATACTACTGGCATCTGGTGGGTAGAGGCCAGGAGTGCTGCTAAACATCCTACAATGCATGGGACAGTCCCAAAACAAAGAATTATCTGGTCCAAGATGTTGATTGTGGCAATGTTGAGAAAACCCACTCTAGAGATTAAGGAAAGGAGGAAACCAGTATCGTGTAGCACCTGCCTGTGCAGCAGGAGGTCAGAACAATGCCACGACAGTAGGCACTTACCCACAATAACAGATCAAGAGAGGACCTGCCTGCAAACATTTAAATAATAGTAAATAAGGCCAGGCACAGTGGCGCACACCTGTAATCCCAGCACTTTGGGAGGGTGAGGCGGGCGGATCACCTAAGGTCAGGAGTTCAAGACCAGTGTGGCCAACATGGTGAAACACTGTCTCTACTAAAAATACAAAAAGTAGCCAGGCCTGTTAGTGGATGCCTGTAATCCCAGCTGCTGGAGAGGCTGAGGCAGGAAAACTGCTTGAACCCAGGAGGCAGAAGTTGCAGTGAGCTGAGATCATGCTACTGCACTTCAGCCTCAGCGACAGAGTGAGACTCTGTCTCAAAAAAAAAAAAAGTAAATAAGGCCAGGTATGGTAGCACACGCCTGTAATCCCAGCACTTTGGGAGGCTAAGGCGGGCAGATTGCCTGAGGTCAGAAGTTTAAGACCAGCCTGACCAACATGGATAAACCCCTTCTCTACTAAAAATACAAAAAAAAAAAAAAAAAAAAAAAAATCTGGGCATGGTGGCACGTGCCTGTAATCCCAGCTACTCAGGAGGTTGAGGCAGGAAAATCGCTTGAACCCAGGAAGTGGAGGTTGCAGTGAGCCAACATTGCTGCCACTTCAGTCCAGCCTGGGTGACACAGCGAGACTCCACCTCAAAAAAAAAGTAAATAAGCAGGTGACCAGCTGGGCATAGTGGTGCACACCTGTAATCCCAGCACTTTGGGAGGCTGAGGTGGGTGGTTCACCCGAGGTCAGGAGTTAGAGACCAGCCTAACATGGCAAAACCCTGTTTCCAACAAAAATACAAAAATTATCTGGGCATGGTGCCAGGCACCTGTAATCCCAGCTACTTGGGAAGCTAAGGCAGGAGAATAGCTTGAACCTGGGAGGCAGAGATTACAGTGAGGCAAGATCGTGCCACTGCACTCAACCTTGGTGAAAGAACAAGACTCTCTCAAAAAAAAAAGTTTCATAAAGGTCTCTGTGGTGGGGGGGTGGGGAATATATATATATACACACACATCTGTGTATTTGTGTGTCTATATAGATTTACATACATATGTAGGGTTGAAAAGCTTTTACATCTGGGCACAGTGGCTCATGCCTATAATCCCAGCACTTTGGGAGGCTGAGGCAGAAAGGTCATTTAAGCCCAAAAGTTTGAGACCAGCCTGGACAACATGGTGAGAACTTATCTCTACAAAAAGTACAAAAATTAGCCAGGTGTGGTGTCCTGTACTTGTAGTCCCATGTTCCTGAGCCTAAGGCAGGAGGATCACTTAAGCACAAAAGGTCAAGCCTTCAATGAGCTGTGATCGCACTACTGCACTCCAGCCTTGGCAATGGAGCAAGACCCTGTCTAAAAAAAAAAGAATGAAAGAAAAAGAAAAACTGTTTTTCCTCCGTTCTCAAATAACAACAATCAATATAGAAGACTTCTGCAACCAAATGTGTAGAGATTGTCCCCACCATAGATTGAGGCAAGCAATCAATTCTACAGTGGATGCCAGCCAGGAATCTTCTGATCCAATTCAATTCTGATGCTGTCCACCTGGACATAGCATCAGATACCAAAGGTTGAGGGCTCAGTCCCACAAGACTGTCCCCACTTTAGACACCAGCTCCCAAGTACAGGCCTCTGGAACTTCTGACCGACTGACTTCAATTGGAGTTCCCATGACCCACTCTTTAGGCTCAATTCATTTGCTAGAACAGCTCACAAAACTCAGGGAAACACCTACTTACATTTGCCAGTTTCTTATAAAGTCTATCTTGAAGGATTTGAATTAACAGCCAGATGAAGGGGTGCAAGGGCGAAGTGTGGAAAGGTCCTAAGCTCAGGAGCTTCCATTCCTGTAGAGTTGGGGTGCACCATCACCCCAGCATGTGGATGAATTCTTATTCACCTTCCTGTAAGCCTTCACCAGTTCAGCTGCCCAGAAGCTCTCTGTACCTAGTCCTCTTGAGCCTTTTATGGACACTTCATTGGATAGGCATGACTGAAGCATGGACAACCGTGTCAAAATGTGATTGGTTTGTTTCTCAGCCTTTCGGCCAAGATCAAGTGCAAAATGTGATTGGACAAAAGGGATATGATTTAATGCTAATAAACTGAGTGGGGAATCCTAGCAAGGCCTGTCTGTTCAGATTCCTCTTGGCCTCTCTGTACAGCACTCCTTCCTGCTGGGTAGAGGGCAGGACCCTTTCTAAAATGGGGGTCTTATGACCTAAAATCAGACAAGGTAGGTCAGAGCATTTCTTTATGAGCAGCTCCAAGATACAAAGGCGGGGGTACATTATATTTTCAGTGTCTATGGCCTGCCTTGGAGAGAAAAAGGAGCAGGTGAAAAAGAAAAGTACAAGAAGCTCAGAGGGAGGGACTGTTTTCTGGGGCCTGCTTCTGAAACCTACAGCACCCACACGTTAAAAGCAAAGACGGTCCTTTACTTTGATCACTCTGAAACACTTCCAAAGCTGCTTTAGGAACCAAGGACTAAAGAACAAATACTTTAACAAAAGATATGCTTATTGTTTAATCACTTAAAAAATAACAAGGGCTATGGGAGTTGTGAGCCAGGAACCATGGACAAAAACATATATATACATATATAATGATGTTACATACACACACACACACACACACACACACACACACACACAGACACTTCTATAAACACATTAACTTTTTTACCTAGCTTCTAAAAAAAAAAGAAAATGTTTATCATAGTTATTATGTATTTAGTTTCAGATAGCAAAGCAATTTTTACCAACCCTATTATTAACATAATTTTAGCATATTATACATTTATGTAAAATGCTAAAAATATATTTTATTAATTTTGAGACAGACTCTTGCTCTGTCACCCAGGCTGGAGTGCAGTGGCATGATCTCAGCTCACTGCGGCCTCTACCTCCCAGGTTCAAGCAATTCTCCTGCCTCAGTCTCCCAAGT